GTTGTTGCGAATGGGATGATTTTATCTTTTTTATGGCTGAGTAATATTCCATTGTATATATATATATACACACACCATATCTTCTTATCCAATCATCAGTCCATGGCCACTTGAATTGCTTCTACTTCCTGCCTATTGTGAATAATGCTGCAGTGAACATAAGGGTGCTTAAGTCTCTTTGAATTGTTGATTTCAAGTTCTTTGGATAGACCCCAATAGTGGGATAGCTGGATCATATGACGTTTCTGTTTTTAGCTTTTTGAGAAATCTCCATATTGTTTTCCATGGTGGCTGCACCAATTTGCATTCCCACCAGCAGTGTGTGAGGGTTCCCTTTTCTCCACAACCTCTCCAACTTTTATTTTTTGTCTTGGTGATTATAGTCTTTCTTTCTTTCTCTCTCTCTCTCTCCCTCCCCCTCTCCTCTCCCTCCCCTCCTCCTCCTCCTCCTCCCCCCCCCCCCCCCGCCTCCCTCTCTCTCTCCCTCTCTCTCTCTCTCTCTCTCTCCCTCTCCTCTCTCTCTCTCTCCCTCTCTCTCTCTCTCTCCCTCTCTCTCTCTTTCTTTCCTTTCTTTTTGAGAAAGATTAGCCCTGAGCTAACATCTGTTGCCAATCCTCCTCTTTTTGCTGAGGAAGACTGGCCCTGAGCTAATATCCATGCCCATCTTCCTCTACTTTATATGTGGGATGCCTACCACAGCATGGCTTGCTGAGAGGTGCCATGTCCGCACCCGGGATCCATGCCGATGAACCCCGGGCCACTGAAGTGGAACGTGTGCACTTAACCACAGCACCACTGGGCTGGCCCCGATTATAGCTATTCAATGGGTGTAAGGTAATATTTTAGTGTAGTTTTGATTTGCATTTCCCTGATGATTAGTGATGTTGAGCATCTTGTCATGTGCCTATTGGCCATCTGTATATCTTCTGTGGAGAAAAGTACGTTTGTATCCTCTGCCCATTTTTTGATTGGGTTGTTTGATATTTTTGTTGTTGAGTTGTGTGAGTTCTTTATATATTATGGAGATTAACCCCTTGTCGGATATGTGATTGGTAAATATTTTCTCCCAATTGGTGGGTTGTCTTTTCATTTTGATCCTGGTTTCCTTTGCCTTGTAGAAGCTCTTTAGTCTGATGACGTCCCACTTGTTTATTTTTTTCTTTTGTTTCCCTTGTCCGAGTAGACATGGTATTTGAAAAGATCATTTTAAGACCAATGTCAAAGAGTTTGTGCACACAATTTTTATAAATATATTAAAGGATGGGTTCACATTTCTATAGAATTAGCAACTTCAAATATTTAACTTCAGTAAAAACAATGCCAATAGTTTTCAGGCATTTTCAGTGGCTTTTACAAAACAGCCACAAATGGGTAAAACAAAGGTCATCTACTTCACTTAAAATAAGAGATGAGAACACACCTGGATTTTAAGAAGCCAAGATTTTCTGTTTGGTAACAGCATTTCTCAGAAAAGGATTTTCCTTTTTTTTTTTTTTCTTTTCTTTTCTTTTTTTTTTTTTATTAATGTTATGATAGATTACAAGCTTGTGAGACTTCAGTTGTACATTTTTGTTAGTCATGTTGTGGGTACACACTTCCCCTTCGTACCCTCCCCCCACCCCCCTTTTCCCTGGTAACCACCGATCAGATCTCCTTCTCAATATACTAATTTCCACCTATGAGTGGAGTCATATAGAGATCGTCTTTCTCTGACTGACTTATTTCACTTAACATAATGCCCTCGAGGTCCATCCACGTTGTTGTGAATGGGCCAATTTCGTCTTTTTTATGGCTGAGTAGTATTCCATTGTGTATATATACCACATCTTCTTTATCCAGTCATCAGTTTCTGGGCATGTAGGCTGGTTCCACGTCTTGGCTATTGTAAATAATGCTGCGATGAACATAGGGGTGCAACGGACTCTTGAGATATCTGTTATCAGGTTCTTAGGATAGATACCCAGTAATGGGATGGCTGGGTCATAGGGTATTTCTATTTTTAACTTTTTGAGAAATCTCCATACTGTTTTCCATAGTGGCTGTACCAGTTTGCATTCCCACCAACAGTGTATGAGGGTTCCTCTATGAGGTTTTTTTTAAGGTATGCTTTTTGGTGAAGAAGAGCGGTCTGGAGCTAACATCTGTTGCCAATTTCTCCCCGCCACTTTTTTCCTCCCCAAAGTCCCAGTACATAGTCGTATATCCTAGTTGTAGGTCATTCTAGTTCTTCTATGGGGGATGCCACCACAGCATGGCTTGATGAGCAGTGTGTAGCTCTGCACCCAGGATCTGAACCTGTGAACCCTGGGCCGCTGAAGCAGAGTGTGCGAACTTAACCACTCGGCCACGGGGCTGGCCCCAGTTCTATGAGTTTTGATAAACACTTACCATTGCATAACCATGAGTTGAACTGCCCCCAAATTCCCTCACACCCCTCTGTGGTCAACCCCTCTCCTTACTCCTGGCCCCTGGCAATCACTGATCGCTTTCCTGTCTCAAGTGATGCCTGTTCTGGAATGACACATGACTGGAATCATTCATGACGTTGCTTTGTGGGTATGGCTTCTTCCACTTAGCATCTGCGTTTGCTGGTCCCTTATCTTTTGGTGTTTAGTGTTATAAAGTCTGAGTTTCTTTGTAGGTATGTTGGTCATCGTAATAAGAATTTTTTTTCCAGCCCTGTTTCTGTGTGTAGGTCTCCTTTCATTGATATTTGTCTGGAGCACGGTGAACTCCTTGGGTCTGTGCACCTGCTGGCTGCCTGTTACTTGACACCTTGTTACTGACGTGCTACTGTGCAATTGGTAGCCTCCCTGGGGGCTGGGTCCCTGTCTTGTCTTTACGGCCTTGCTTGTTTGTGGAGACCCCCAGTTAAATTCCCCTTGGGGGATCCTTGAAGACCCTCTAACTCTCACCAAACAATTTATATATATATATATATATATATATATATATATATATAAAGATTGGGACCTGAGCTAACATCTGTTGCCAATCTTTTTTTTTTCTTCTTCTCCCCAAACCCCCCCCCCCCCCCCCCAGTACATGGTTGTATAGTCTCGTTGTAGGTCCTTCCAGTTGTGCTATGTGGGACATCATCTCAGTATGGCTTGATGAGCGGTGCCATGTCTGGGCCCAGGATTCAAACCAGTGAAACCCTGGGCCACCTAAGCCAGGGAACTTAACCACTCAGCCTGGGGCTGGCCCCTTTTTTTTCTTTCATCCTGGAAAACAAATGGGATTCCTAAATTGCGACCAGAGTCCCTTGTTCTGAAATAGCTTCTCAGTAAGGTCAGGGTGCCTTGTTTTTGGAAGATAAATTATAATTGCTGCAGAAGAATACATGATTTATCTGTAAAATTCCTGTGAAAAGATTTTTTTTCCTACTATATGTCATCTTGTTTGCGGTTTTAGTGTTTCTATAAATAGAAATGAACTGCCATTGACCCTGCTTCACGGGCTTTGTAGAGTTGTGATTGGCTGTTCCCACTGGCCATTGTTTTCATCCCAAGGGAAGCCACACAAGGGTGAGCATCTGTCAGGCGCACAGAGCGTGGTGGCGGGATGTGGGCAAACCCCTGTGAGTCTGTGCTTTAAGAACAGGAGAGCCAGAGCCCCCGCCCCGCTCTTCACTGCACTGAAGGGCACGAGGCCGTGACAGCGAGTGGAGACTACAAAGGACAGAGGAGATAAGATTTAAGACTGGGTTGGACCAGAGGAGCTCATCCCCCCAATGCTGGTCCCAGTCGGAAGTCCTGCCCCACCCCCTCCCCCCTCCCCTAGCACTCAGCACAACGTCTGTTACTGGCACCTCAATAACGTTGAATGAAAGTGCTCTTGACCCTCCTGGAAGTTTTCTCCAGCCCTGCTCCGTGCTCCCCTAACAGCGTGGGGCTCTGAGCAGCATTTCAGCATCCTTGCTACCTTCCCCGGCACAGGCACATACACATACACGCGCCGTGCCACACCCGCACTCAGTGTGATATGATAAGAAATATATTTTTGGTCTTCCTCTCTAGTTCCTGGAGCAGAGCTCCTAAAACCCTTGTAATTTCCTGAGTGATTGGGGTGAGAGGAGAGTCTCTTGTTATTCATAACAAGCCCCTTTCACCCTTTTCTGAGTTTATGCTAACGAGGTCTTGAGGGCTCAGAGCCACCTCCGAGCCCCCTGGGGCTGGAGAGGGGCTGGAGGCCGAGTTAATCACGAGTGGCTAATGATTTAATCAATCACGCTTAGGTAATGTAGCCTCTATAAAAAGCCCTAACCTGAGGGATTCAGAGAGCTTCTGGGTTGGTGAACACATGGAGGTGCTGGGAGAGTGGCACGCCGGGGGAGGGCGTGGGAGCTCTGTGCGCCTTCCCACACGCCTGGTCCTATGTACCTCTTCCATCTGGCTGGTCCTGAGTTGTATCCTTTATAATAAACTGGTAATCCAGTAAGTAAACCATTTTCCTGAGTTCTGTGAGCCATTCTAGCTAATTATTGAGCCTGAAGGAGGGGTTGTGGGAACCTCTGATTTATAGCTGGTTGGTCAGAAGCACAGGTGACAACAGGACTTGTGACTGGCAGCTGAACTGGGGGGCGGGCACTCTCGTGGGACTGAGCCCTTAACCTGTGGGGTCTGTGTTAACCCTGTGCAGTTAGTGTCAGAACTGAGGTAAACTGTGGGACCCCCAGTCCTTGTCTATTGAGAATTGAATTGCTTGGAAAACCCACATATCTGGTGTCGGAAGTGTTGGTGTGAGTACGGTGTAGAGGAGACAGTGTTTTCCTTTACTTGTCCATTCACACTCACACTCACACACACACACACACACCCTCATCATCAGGATGAGCAGCCAGGAGGACATTTCTGCCAGAGAACCACTGGGCTAGGTTGGGGAGTGTCTGTGGTTCACCCTCCCAGTTTGACATCCTCTGGCAGGGACCCCAGCCTTTGCCACCTGGTTCCCAGTTCTCGCTCCTGTCACCTCTGACAGTCCTCTTCTTGGTGTTGCAGCCGGAGCCCAAGCCTGGAGACCTGATTGAAATTTTCCGCCCTTTCTACAGACACTGGGCCATCTACGTTGGCGATGGATATGTGATCCACCTGGCCCCCCCAAGTAAGGACGCCTGGGCTTCCACTGTGCTGGGGCTGGGAGGAGAGGGAGGTGGCGGAGCTGTGGGTAACAGGTGGCCCCAACATTCTCCTTGCTTCCCGACTGGCGGGTGGTTCCTGGGTGCTACAAGAAGGCAGTTTGGTGTGGGGCAGTGGTTTTCAAACTCTGCTCCTTGGAACCCTAGGGGTTCTATAGAGGGCCTGAGATGGGCTTCCCAGGGGGCAGCTCTGCTTTTATGGGTTTATATACCATGGTTTTGGATAAACCACGTTCAACTCTTAAGGTATCGGTTTTTGGGCAGCAGACTTGGCTATGAACCCAGTTTCTACTCTCCAGCCTCGGTTTCCTTATCTGTAAATGAGGCTAAGAATACTTGACTTGGAGAAATGTTGTGAGAATTCCCCACTCCCTTTCTTAAACTTTTTATTCACACTGAGGTATAATATAAATACAGTAAAGTGCACAAATGTAATAAAGTGTATAGTCAGTGAATTTTTAAAAAATGTATCCATCCATGTGACAATGGCCCAGATCAAGATCTAGAACATTCTGCCTACCCTAATCCTGCGTTCTTCCTCGATATCCTCTCCCCTCCCTAGAGGCAACCACTATTCTAGCTTCTCCTGCCATCGGTTAGTTTTGTTTGTTCGGAACTTCATGTGAGAGGAATCACAGTCTGGCCTGGGTTCTTTTGCTGGGCCCGTGAGAGTCATCCACGTTGAGTGGTAGTCGTTCGTATTTTTTCGTTGCTGTGGGTTTTCCGTTATATGAATACACCTCAATTTGTCATCCATTCTTCTGCTGATGGACGTCAGATTGGTTCCAATTTTCGGTCACTGTGAACACAGTTGCTGTGGACATTCTTGGATATGTCTCTCACTCATCCCTTTAATGGCTTCCCGCTGTCCTTATAGAGAAATCAGGAGTAACCAGAGTAGATGTCATCTTCCCCCCCCCGATTAACCAAACCACCAATACCTGTCCCCACATAATCTGCCTTTTGTTCTGTTAAAATGCACAGTGCCCCTGCCCTCATTTAGAAAGCCAGCCCTTATATGTGGGTCCTGGACCCCCACCTGTTACTTTCATAAGCACTTTGCTCCTCAAATTCCCTGCCTCCCTCTGTATTATCATCGTCTCCCTCTCTACTAGGTTATTCCTATCGGCATAGAAACCATGTAATATCTCCTGTTGATAAAACAAACACCCCCAGACCTCACATCCTCTCCAGCCAACTCCCCAAAGAGCAGGTCTCTTGTCTACCACAGCCATCACCGATTCCTCACTTCCTATTCTCAATTCAGTTCCCTCCACCAGGCTGTCTGTTTCACCCCTTCCTGGAACAGCTCTTATCAAGGCCACCAAAAGACCCTCCACGTCTTGACAAAGCCAAGGGTTGATTTTCTGGTCACAGCTTCTCTGCAGCACTTGACACAAGTGACCTCTCTGTTCTTCACCTGGCACCTGTCTTTCTTCCTCTCCCTCTGGGCCTTTCCTTCTCGGTCTCCTGTGTGGGATCCTCCTCTCCCATATCACTAATCCTTACTTTCCCCAGGTGACCTCATTGGGTCCCCTGGCTTCCAATGCCTTCTTTTTTTTTTTGAGGAAGATTAGCCCTGAGCTAACATCTGTGCACATCTTCCTTTATTTTATATGTGGGATGCCTGCCACAGCATGGTTTGATAAGCAGTGCGTAGGTCCGTGCCTGGGATCTGAACCGGTGAACCCCGGGCTGCTAAAGCGGAGCGCACAAACTTAACCGCTACACCACCTGGCCGGCCCCTTCTCATGCCTTCTATTTGTCCATATAGTCCAAGCCCGTGTCCGCAGCTTAGGCCTCCCTGCTCAGCTACAGGCTTGTATAACCTCTTGACTACTTGGCATCTCCACCTGGGTGTCTAATTGACGTGTTGAACTTGACATGCCCCACATGGAAGGCTCTGGTGGATGACACCATCCAGCTGCCCAGGCCAAAAATCTAGGCAGCATTCTTGATCCTTTTCACCCCATAGCTAAGCCATGAGGAAACTCTGTTGGCTTTATCTCCAAAACTGCCTCCGGATCTGATCACTTCTCATCATCTCCATTGCTTGTGTCCTGCAATAAGCTACATCTTCCTTCATCTGATTCCACCGTGGCTTCCGGTTGGTCTCTCTGCCTCTTGCCCACTTATGGTCAGTCCCTGCTTCACTGGGCAGCCAGCGTGATCGGTCTAAAGTATAAAGCTGATTATATCACTCTTCTCCTTAGAATTCTGGTTTGGCATTTCCATCAGACACAGAATAAGATCAGTCTGTGTGTGGCCTGTGAGGCGTGGCATGGTCTGGCTCCTGCTGCCTCTCTGACCCTCCTCGGTGTCTTCCCTCCTCCCGGGTCCCCAGACTTCAGCCACATTGGCCTCCTTGCAGCCTCTGGAACATGCCACGCTCTTTCCTCCCTGAGCTCTTTGCCCTTGCTTTTCCTTCTTCTTGCGATGCTCTCCCTGGCTTTCAGCTGCCTCCCCCTCATCATTCAATTGTCAACTCACGTGACCATTCCCAGGGTGGCCTTCCCCAGCCGGAGCCAGAGCAGCCTCCCCTCGTTATCCTCTCCTGTGTTACTGTCCTTCCTCTTCTCTGGAGCATTTTCAGCACCTGAAAGTGTCTCATTTTCTCTCTTGTTCATTGTCAGTGTCCTTTCACTAGAATGTGAGCTACTTGAGGGCAGGTGTGGTGTCTAGTTCACGCCACTGTCTCCAGCACCTTGGACAAGGCCTGGCACGTGGTAGGGCCTAAGTATTGATTGACTCTCTGCACTGAGTGGGTCTAACTGGTGGCCAAGGGGCAGGGGAAGGCATGACAGGGATCTGGGTGGACAGGTAACACCCATCACTGGGTGAGGGATGCTCTTTAAAGGGAAAAGATGCTCTACCTGCATCTTCTTACTCGAGCTTCGCAGGAATCTTGGGAAACAGGTGAGGCGAGGAGGGCTAACCTCACGCTAATGAGAAAATGGTAGAAATGAGAATTGGAAGGCAGCGTAGAGAACAACCCCAATAATAATGACAGCCGACACTGCAGGGCACTGCCCTGTACTTCACAGGCCCTGGTGAAGGCACTGTGCATTGCCAACTCTTTAATCCACAGCTCCCTGTGTGGTACCCTAGGGACAGGTAGGGACTGTCATTGTCCCTATTCTACAAGGAACGGAGACTCAGAGAAGTTAAGCAACTTGCCCAAGGTCACACAGCAGGTAATGGGGGAGGTGGGACTCAAACCCTGGCTGTCGACTCTCTATTCTCTGTGTTTAACCACGATGCATCCTGCCCTGTCTGACGTTTCCCTAAATTCAGTCATGGATTGTTTGCCTTATCCAAGTGCCCTCTCCACGATTGTCCAGCTTTTCTGCAGTGATCAGCTTCGCATATGTTAAGGAAGTGTAGCCTTGATGGAATCACCAAAGGTCACATTCTATTCCCCCAGGGAGATGGGGGTGCTCAGGGCCCATATTTGCATAACCGAGAGTCCCACTGAGTGTCACAGGATGTAGAAGACTAGCTTCTCTAGGTTAAAAAAAGATCACGGCCAGTCATGGAACTTCACTACTCCTCATTTCAGATAAGAAAGCCAAGGCCCAGAGACAGAGATGTGTCCGATCCTTCCCCTTTGAGTCTTCCACACCTGCTTATTCCTTTGTGGACAGTGGCACGGGTGGATGCCTGGCTGGGGGCCTGCGCGGGCCTGCCCAGGATTGAAGTCCCTGTCTCCCCTGTGTGAATCTACAGGTGAAATCGCGGGAGCTGGTGCGGCCAGCATCATGTCTACCCTGACTGACAAGGCCATAGTGAAGAAGGAACTGCTGTATGATGTGGCCGGGAGGGACAAGTACCAGGTCAATAACAAACACGATGACAAGTACTCGCCGCTGCCTCCCAGCAAAATCATCCAGCGGGCGGAGGAGCTGGTGGGGCAGGAGGTGCTGTACAAGCTGACCAGTGAGAACTGCGAGCACTTTGTGAACGAGCTGCGCTACGGAGTGCCCCGCAGCGACCAGGTGCGTCCTCAGCCCGTGTCCCGTCCCCTGGACCCAGACCGTTCCCTCAGCTGACAGTGGCTGAGTGTCAGCCTGGGCTGTGCTGGGGTGGAGACAGAGGTGTGAGCGAGACAAAATGTCAGAGACAGAATCCCTGCCCTTGAGGACGTCACTGTCGGGGTGGGGACGGGAGTGGGGAGACCAGCAAGTCGGCACCGCAGACCAGTGCGGTTAGGGGGCGACGGCCGAGGACGTGAGTCATAGCCATGACGGTCAGCCTGGTTGCTGAGCCTGCCTCCCTGGCCGACCAGCCCTGAGATGGACCCTTCCCACAGCCCCAGAGGCAGGTTTTATTACTCCCGCTTTACAGATGGAGAAACTGAGGCTCCCAGCACTTAAATAGCTTGTCGAAGGCCATTCGTTTCATCAAACGAATCTGTGTCGCGTCTCCAGACCTGGGGCTTGTCTTTTCCTGGGGTTTGTCTGCAACGGTGCTGACTTTGTAGCAGACGTGGGATTTGAAGTCCAGGTTTGTTTGACACAGCTTTTCATGCTTATAAAAACACTGTCCTCAGCCCCGCTGAAACCCCAGGGTCAGTCCAGGGGCCCCGGGGATGCACTTTTGTTCATTTACTTAGTTTGACTGTGGCCCTGCTCCCTCTGTTTTTTGAATCTCCTTTTCTCCTGAGTAACTAGCTTCCTTCTCATTCTCTCTCATCTTCTCTCCCTTTCTGCACCTTTGACACCAATTTTTTTTCTTGGCGAGAATATTGTTTGGAAAAGTTCTTAGAGGCCTGTCGATGCAAAAAGTAGGATTTATTGTTTCGATGAATGAGGAGATTGTTTATTTTTATTACTTTTTAATTTTTTGGAGATGTGGTCTCTTTCTTGTTCGGGGAGGTGGTCACGGGCATGGGATCCTGGAGTCGGGCAGACCTGGGCTGGATCTGGGCTCTGCCTTTTGCCAGCTTTATGAACTTGGCAGATTTATTCAAGTTCTCGAAACCTTGGTAAAAGAAATGATAATGCTGATCCTGGAGGGTTATTGTATGAATTCAATAAGAGCATCTTTATGCTGAGCAGAGTGCCAGCTCAGAAAGCACACAATAAATTGTAGCAGTAGAGGTGTCATAATTGTCCTCATCTTCATTCTTTTTCTCGGTTTGCCCAGTCCCTTGTCCACCGGCCTCTCTGGGCCACAGTGACGTGATGGTGAGTCATTCACCAGCACCACCTCCAAGAATCACTCCCAGCTTTCCTCTTTTGCTGATAACCAGCTGTTTACGACACTCACCCCCATGTTGGTTACCTAGTCATCTCTGTGATGAGCTATGCGATCTTTTCCAGTGGGCATTCTCTTATTTTTTTTCCTTCAGTCAGTTGTGTTATTATTGTTCTCTCCCTCTATGTATATATATGAATGTGATAACACAAAAGTGTAGGAGTAGTAAGTACACGTCTAGCTAGATAAGGAAAGGGCAATCTTGCCAATGTTTGGTGAAGACTCCGAGAGTCTCTGGGTCAGTCTGGCTTCAACTTCCCTGAGAGTTCATAAGAGCCTCCTTTGGGGAAGCCAGTGGGCAGGGCCAGGAGAAGAAGCTCATTAGTACCTCCGCTTGAAAAGGTGATGCAACCAAAGAAGGAATCTGGAGGACGATGCCACTCAACACATCTATCTCTTGGGGATAATGGCCTGCAAAACATTTGTCTTGAGTCGCACCTGGTGATGCACAGCTGCCATCCTGGTATCTCCCTTTACCAGCACCCCAGAGATCCCCTTCAGTTCTCTCCCTTATTAATGCTTTTATCTTCTGTAGCTCTCATCTTTCTCTTTCTTGGTTTACTCCCTTGTTTTGGTGGAATACATCCTCTAATAGTTTACTGAGAAAGGATGCATTTTAAAAAGACCTTGCCTGCCTGAAAGTGTCTTCATTTTCCCCTCATATTTGATTGATAGTTTGGCTGGATATAGAAGTCTAGGCAGAAAATAACTTTTTTTCCAAAATTTTGAAGGCATCGCTCCATTGTTGTCTAGCTTATGCTGTTATTGTCGAGAAGTCTGAAAGCGTTCTGACCTTTGACCCGCTGTATGTGACCTGTTTTTCCTTTCCAGAAGCTTGTAGAATCTTCTCTTTATCCTCAGTGTTCTGAAATATCACTGTGATAGACCTTGTGTGGATCTGTTTTCATGTGTTGTGCTGGGCACTTGATGGCTCCTTTCAATCTGGACACCCCATTCCTTCAGTTCTGGGAAATTCTATTTTCTCTTCTCTCATTCTGGAACTCCTATTATTTGGATGTTGGACCCCTAAGACTGCTCCTCTGATTTTCTTTTCTTTTCCTTTCTTTTTTTTTGAGGAAGATTAGCCCAGAGCTAACTGCTGCCAATCCTCTTCTTTTTGCTGAGGAAGACTGGCCCTGAGCTAACATCCGTGCCCATCTTCCTCTACTTTATATGTGGGATGCCTACCACAGCATGGCGTGCCAAGCGGTGCCATGTCTGCACCTGGGATCTGAACCGGTGAACCTGGGGCCACCAAAGTGGAATGTGCACACTTAACTGCTGTGCCACCGGGCCGGCCCCTCCTCTGATTTTCTTATTGTCTCTCGCCTGTTTTCTATTTATTTATCTTTTTAAATTGGAAAACTAACATTTATTGATAGACTTAGGTATAATAGAAGTTATTTTTTAAAAAAAGTAGCAGTGACAATATCAGCATAAAAAAGAGAAACTTACGCTAAATAAATCTGATTTCATCATTGGTGATATTGCCGCAAAATTGAGATCCTCACTCATGCATGGCTTCTACTTCAGGTAAATTTCCATACTCCTATGCAGCAGTAAACTCCACATAAAGATTTATGCTACAGGGGCTGGCCCGGTGGCATAGTGGTTAAGTTTGCGCACTCTGCTTTGGCGGCCTGGGTTCATGGGTTCACATGCAGGGTACGGACCTAGCACTGCTCTTCAGGCCATGCTATGGCAGCATCCCACATGAAATAGAGGAAGATTGGCACAGATGTTAGCTCAGTGACAGTCTTCCTCAAGCAAAAAAAATGAGGAAGATTGGCAACAATGGATGCTAGCTCAGGGCCAATCTTCCTCACCAAAAAAAAAAAAAAAAGGATTATGCTGCAAACTTGTGAAGCCATAAAATACCCTATGAAATTCAAGGTGCTGCATTAGGAAGATTTGATAGATTTATAAGATATCTCCTAATCATTTCATTTTTAGTTATTCTTTAGTGATTATTAATCACTAAACTAAACTAAGCAGATGAAAGAACAGGTTCACAAGTTTATGTAAGTAGAATATTTTGTATCAATGCAAAATTGTCGCATAATTTAGTAAAATACGTATGTCACCAGGCATGAATAATATTTAGAGTAATTAAGTGCAATTCCAAGTCTTGAGATAGTGAAATAACTAAAAAATATTTTCTATCATTTACTCTTTTGATAAACAATAATTCAACTCTTCTTGCAAAATGAAACAATACAAATTGGATGCATCACACGTTTCTTCCTATGGCGTTAGCCCTGTGCACCTACCCGTCCACCCAAAAGTGGCAGAACGATGGCAACACAACAACAATAAAACAGCATAAACAATTCTTCTGGACCCCACCACAGAAAAGGAAACCAGAATCGACTACAAAATGAACAGAGGTGCCATCTTCCAAAGATTTCCTCTTTCATTTCTTGGCCTACGATGAGAGTTCCTCAACCTCAGTGCTATTGACATTTGGGGCCATTGACAGCGAAGATAATTCCTCATTGTTGTGACCTGCCCTGTGCCCTGCAGGGGGTTGAGCAGTGTCTCTGGTCTTTACCCACTGCGTGCCAGCAGCACTCCCTGATCCCCAGGTGTAAGAACCAAAAATGTCTGTAGATGTTGGCTCAGCTCCCCCAGGGGGCAAAGCTGTGCCAGTTGAGAACTACTGGCTCAGTGAGTAATGATCACAATACACGGGGTGGCCACATTAAAATGTAACTTCCCCCCACGTCCCATCTCACTGGAGACGGTGGAGTTAGTAGCTACAGGAAAACGTCCAGCAGTGGTTTCCTTTGTAAGTGCTGTCGAAGCATCCCTTCTTTCCATTTAACTCATGAACACATTTTGGTCTTTAAGAATCTGGTCCGTCATTTGTTGTTGCTTTGGGCTCTTTGAAGCAGACTAGGTTTCCTTTAACTGAAGTTTGTGACTCCTCTAACCTCCTGGTCAGAAAGGCAAGTGACGGATTGAAACTGTAGTTTAAAATGTAGTTTGTGCTTTGCATGCATAAGAGTGTTTAAAATAGATTCTCCTGCCTGACACCTACTTAAAAATACTCAGGCTTCAAAAAGGTATATTTAGTAAGCTTTCGTAAATAAGCTTCCATATTTAATAGTACTTAAAAAAAAAGCAACTAGGAGCTACATTCGTACTTAAGTCTATTCAGTGTCAGATAAAATATTTAGATAAATGGAAATCAAAGATGTGGCCAATGAGAGTATGTATATTACATAAATCTGGATAAATTGCAGGGTATTATTTTTAAATTACTATAAACAAAGCAAATTGCTATACAAATATTTTGTAACCATTTTTATTTTTTAACCTCTCATAGTCTAAATTCAATTGCCTTCAGAATGACACTGTTCTCATTTTCTCTTTTATCCACTTAGAACATTGCTGAAAGTGAAGAAAACACAGAATTTGTTTTTTCCCCAGAAACAGTTCAGGCTTCACTAAATAGGGGCTTCACTCAGAGGAGCTGTCTAGCATTAACAGCTAATTGTCTGCAGTCTGATAGAATTCCAGTTTGCCTGCTTTAAAAAATGGCAGATTTCTTAGCATTTCTAATGAGGGACTTTTTCTCTTTCATAATATTCTGATTTAAGACCTGTGATGCACACCATGTCGCCCATTTTCAAGATCAGAACTGTAATTTCAGCCCCGTGGGTGGGCTGGACCCATCAGCCTTTTAACAAGAAAATCATCAATGGCGTCTGAAGGTAGCGCTGATTCCTAGGCAGAT